ATTCAGAAATTGCTATTAATAGAAGAGATATACTAAGTGACATATAAATCCGAACACCCAGTTTAAATGGTTTTATTTTAATAAAAGTTGGTGAATGTATTTATCTTAGATACTGTAAATAACAAGTGAAAAAATGTTCAGCCTTATCAGTTGGACACTCCGGTTTTTATACTGTTTTTTTTTTTAATTCACTAACGCTCTAAAATGAATATTTCAGCCGCAGTAAAGGACGGATTTTGGTTCTTGACATCCTTTACGATCGGTTACGATGCCTAGAGTACGGAGACCTGTACGATTTCGTCAACTTAGTGAGTTTGATAGGGGCCGTATAGTGGGACTTCGGGAAGCTGGACTTTCTTTTCGGGCAATTGCAGTTAGAGTGCAAAGAAGTGTAGACACTGTGGTTAGGTGTTGTCAGGCATGGCTTCGAGAAGGCCGTACGCAAAGAGCAAGGGGCACTGGACGCCGCCGTAGAACAACAGACCGTGAAGATCGCCGCCTAAGATTATTGGCCTTAAGGGACCATTTCTCCACTACCAGGTCCATTGCAAATGAATGGTTTGCAGAACACGGAAGACCTATTGGCATGCGAAGTGTTTACCGACGAATGAGAAGCTTTGGCTTGTTTTCATACCGGCCACACTGGGTACTCCCTTTAACTCGAGAACACCGACGTGGTGCAGACAACGGTCATTCTGGGATCAGGAATGGAACAGTATTGTCTTTAGTGACGAGTCTCGATTTTGTTTAGGCATGCACGATGGTCGTGCCAGGGTTAGAAGGCGACGTGGTGAAAGGAGGAATCCACAGTTTTTTGTTGAAAGACATGTTCATCACACTGTTGGAGTTATGGTTTGGGGTGCTATAGCTTATGGTTCCAGGTCACCTTTAATCTTCATCAGAGGTAACATGAACGCGCAGCGTTATATCCACGAAGTTCTAAAACCCCATCTTTTACCCTATCTTGACACCCTGGCAGATCCAACTTTCCAACAAGATAATGCCCGACCACATGTTGCAAGAGTCACAATAGACTTCTTTCAACATAATGATGTCACATTGTTATCATGGCCACCAAGATCTCCCGACTTATCCCCAATTGAGCACGTGTGGGATATGATGGGTAGGAGATTGCTCAATTTGCAACGTCCTCCTCAGACTCTAGAAGCACTTCTAGAGTAGTTGATGGTTGCCTGGAATGAGAAACCACAGCAGGACATTGACCACCTGATCAGAAGCATGCCTAGGCGCGGAGAATGCGTGGCACATCTGGGTGCATCCACATATTATTAAAGGTCAAAGGGCTTTAAAGCAGTGCAATCATTTTGAAATTTTTATCATTTACTTATTATGCTTCATTAAGTACTTATACAAAATTTTATTAAAATAAAACCATTTAAACTGGGTGTTCGGATTTATATGTCACTTAGTATATTTAACATAGTTGAAAGGGAGATCAAAACAACTGAACGATATCATAGTGAGAAACATGAAAGGTGCCTTAAAATCCATCTTTTATACTGAATTTATATGAAATGAAGTTTTATAATGACTGTCACAATTTTTCTTACATCGCTTAAAATGTTGCATATGTCCCCGGAACAGGCTGTAGCTAGCGACAAACAAAAAGAAGTGTTACCTCATATCATTAATTTGTGATAGTCAGAAATTTCTTATTGGAAATAATCGATCATAAATAGGTAGATAAAAGTAACTGTCAATTTCATGTTACATCTTTTATATTGTACTTTGGAAAGGGCCGAAATGTCGGTATATTCTTCCATAGTTTTATTGGATGGCGAAGACAACAAACAACTAACACAATCATTATTCTTGTATTCCCATCATGCCATTGATATTAAGTCTGAGATTCAGAATTGTTTATAATGTCAGCTGCCAAGATGAAACTTTAAGCGTAATGAGAAAATGATAAATATTGTATTTTTAACTTATCGGGATCATAAAGATGAATCACCTGCTACTTTTATACCCGTGAAAATCGCGCTTCGCCTTGACACCAAAATATATTTGGGTGATTCGAATTTGTTTATGCAATCAATATCAGAGAGATAATGATAGGGATGAATTTTGAAATACAAGATTTTATACAGGCTCCGACACAAAGGTCGGACGGTTTTTAATAAATCACAAAATCGGTAATTTTTAGTTAAAAATAAATTTATTGACGGATTCGGGTTCACAATGAAATAGCGATTGTCACAATTAAGTGTGGAAAATCGCATCAGTCATGTGGTCACCGTTTTTGAGGATGCATTGCTGGAGGATGAATAACGATCATCGTTGCTCTGGTCGTCCTGTTGGACACACACGTCGAAATGGAGTACTATACTAAGTGACATATAAATCCGAACACCCAGTTTAAATGGTTTTATTTTAATAAAATTTTGTGTAAGTACTTAATGAAGCATAATAAGTAAATGATAAAAATTTCAAAATGATTCCACTGCTTTAAAGCCCTTTGACCTTTAATAATGTGTGGATGCACCCTGATGTGCTACGCATTCTCCAACGCGCCTAGGCATGCTTCTGATCAGGTGGTCAATGTCCTCCTGTGGTATCTCATTCCAGGCAACCACCAGCTCCTCTCGAAGTGCTTCTAGAGTCTGAGGAGGACGTTGCAAATTGAGCAATCTCCTACCCATCATATCCCACACGTGCTCAATTGGGGATAAGTCGGGAGATCTTGGTGGCCATGGTAACAATGTGGCATCATTATGTTGAAAGAAGTCTATTGTGACTCTTGCAACATGTGGTCGGGCATTATCGTGTTGGAAAGTTGGATCTGCCAGGGTGTCAAGATAGGGTAAAAGATGGGATTCTAGAACTTCGTGTATATAACGCTGCGCGTTCATGTTACCTCTGATGAAAATTAAAGGTGACCTGGAACCATAAGCTATAGCACCCCAAACAATAACTCCAACAGTGTGATGAACATGTCTTTCAACAAAAAACTGTGGATTCCTCCTTTCACCACGTCGCCTTCTAACCCTGGCACGACCATCGTGCATGCCTAAACAAAATCGAGACTCGTCACTAAAGACAATACTGTTCCATTCCTGATCCTAGAGTGACCGTTGTCTGCACCACTCAAGGCGATTACGTCGGTGTTCTTGAGTTATAGGGAGGACCCAGTGTGGCCGGTATGAAAACAAGCCAAAACTTCTCATTCGTCGGTAAACACTTCGCATGCCAATAGGTCTTCCGTGTTCTGCAAACCATTCATTTGGAATGGACCTGGTAGTGGAGAAACGGTCCCTTAAGGCCAATAATCTTAGGCGGCGATCTTCACGGTCTGTTGTTCTACGGCGGCGTCCAGTGCCCCTTGCTCTTTGCGTACGGCCTTCTCGAAGCCATGCCTGACAACACCTAACCACAGTGTCTACACTTCTTTGCACTCTAACTGCAATTGCCCGAAAAGAAAGTCCAGCTTCCCGAAGTCCCACTATACGGCCCCTATCAAACTCACTGAGTTGACGAAATCGTACAGGTCTCCGTACTCTAGGCATCGTAACCGATCGTAAAGGATGTCAAGAACCAAAATCCGCCAACGTTGATTCTTTACTGCGGCTGAAATATTCATTTTTAGAGCGTTAGTGAATTAAAAAAAAGCAGTATAAAAACCGGAATGACCAACTGATAAGGCTGAAAATTTTTTCACTTGTTATTTACAGTAAGATAAATACATTCACCAACTTTTATTAAAATAAAACCATTTAAACTGGGTGTTCGGATTTATATGTCACTTAGTATATGCAAAATACGCCCTACCGAACGATCACTGTATAAATTGGTTTCCTTGTTATTTTCTTACACCACGCTGTGGCCACATATGATTATCATTGAATCTATACAACTTATTAAGCAGCATTGGATATGCAAATCATTGTAAATGGCAACACTGGCGCTGCCCATCAAGTAGGATGTAGTAGTAAAGCGGGGTCGGGGGGTCGAGTTACATTTACCTCCGCCAGCTAGGCAGTACATGGGCATCTGGGCAATGCAGTGGTGGCATTTACACTCCATGACCTTTGTAATATTACTGGTAACATACTGTATACTGAAAGTTTGATACATCAACCGACTTTTTGGGTAATTGGGGAAGGTATTTAATGATTTTTGTTGAAAACTGCAATGCTCTAAGCTTTTTGTTTTTAGTATTTATTTTTGATTCCCTGGGATTGTTCTGGAAATATCGGTATAGTAAAGTTTTTTTGGTCGAAATAATAACACAAAATAAACGTAGTTAGCTTTTGTAATGCATGCTTAATCAGGTCAAATAAATAGTTCATACAAAAAGTCGTAAAATTACAGTTCCAACCGTCAGCTTGCTGTTTTTACTGTCCCAATGGTCGATTTTTGAAATACGTAGATGGCACTTTGTACTGTCTTATTTATTTAAATTTACACGAATAATGATGCTCCTTAACCCTTTCATCTGATATGTTATTCAGACATATTCGCTTTGGGTTGTTCACCCAACGTCAGCCCCCATAACTTTGAAACAGCTGAACTAATTTTCACCAAACATATATTTAGTCTGGTACCGAAATGGAAGAGAGTAGTAAAACACATCGTACGCCACTGTTAACGCGGTGTGTCGTTGAGTCGGTAATGCTTCTGTTTTGGTATACGTATATAAGACCCATCTCTAGAGTCAAAACTTTTAATAAGAATGAATTATAGTTAAAATAACTAAAAAAACACGCTTTAATATCAAATCGAACCAAGAAGTAGAAAACAATTTTCAAGTATTAGAGAATTTGAGTTATTGCAAAAGAAGGTCCAACAGTCAAGTATGACTAATTAATTTGAAATAAGATCAATATAAAAATTAAGATATTAACCAAAAATTCAATTACAGTAAAAAAGCTTGTGTGCTTGATATTAAAAGTTAGAATTATTTTTTATTTGTTACGTGGGCTGTCTTTTAAGTTTTGTATATGGAAATTAAACAACACGGTAGGTAGTTTTAAATGACTTTATTGTTTTTCGAAGTATTCTCCACGAAGATTAATACATATTTGCATGCGCTCGAACCAATTTTCGAAGCACTTATTCCACTCGTTTGCTGGTAGATCCAAAACGGCATTTTTTAATGCGTCAACTGCTTCTTCTGGTGACTGGAACCTTTGACCACGCAGTTTGTTTCTAATTTTCGGGAAAATAGAGAAATCTTTAGGTCTTAGATCGGGACTATATGAAGGATGGTCCAATAATTCCACGTTTTCTTCTGTTAAATACTGCCTTATTTTTTGGGCTGTGTGCGAGCTTGCATTGTCTTGGTGGAGGATGATTCTTCTTTAGGAGTTGATTTTTCGAAGCTCGGTGATGATTTTTGGTTCATAACAGTAAATCCACGATTCATCACCACTAACAATGCTGTACACATGTTTTGAGATTCCGGAATTGAAACGGTCAAGCGTTTTTTGACACCAATTAACCCTGGCTGCTTTCTGCTCTTCAGTCAACAGGTGGGGTATCCAACGAGAAACTAATTTTCTTACTCCTAATTCTTCATGTAAAATTTTTTGAATTGAGGTCTTTGAGATCTTCAAGGACGCCTCAACCTCGCGACATGTCACATGTCTATCTTCAATGATGAGTTTGCGCACAGCATCGACGTTTTACTGTGTTCTTGCCATTTTTCGTGCACCCACTCTGGGATCGTCGCTAAGACACCCTTCCACGTTTGAATTCTCCATACCAACGGGAAATTGTCGACTGATGTGGCGCTTCGTTGCAAAAACAGGCAGTAACTTAGCAACTTGTTGCGATAATTGTTGTCTCTGAAAGTTGTATTAAGTTATGGCGCGAAAATGTTCTCGGTTAAATTCCATTTTTCTAATGACTTGGTGACACTTAAAAATTCACTGTAGTGAGAACACAGTATTGTTGAGAAACATTGAATTTAAGTATACTAAAGAGTGAGGTTAAGATTCAGTACTGACGTTCGTATACACAAAATTCGAGTTATGAAAATAAATCTAATTGCACCACACGTTTTTTACTATGTTTGAATTTTTTATATTAATTTTATTCCATTTATTGTTGGGCTTTCTATTGCAGAAACACAAACTCTCCTAATACTTGAAAATTATTTTCTACATTTCGATTTGCTATGAAAGCTGTATTTTTTAGTTTCTTTTAACCCATAATTTATTTTTTGAATTTTTAGTCTCAAGACGACAGCAAAAACCTTATGATCAAGAGTTTTTATTTTTGATGATTTATTCTATTTTTTCAAATTTCTAAATTTCCAAAATTTTTCCAAATTCTAAATATTCAAATAATAATTTGAGTTTTCCAGTTATTTTCCAAATTTTCAATTCCAATTATTTTCCAATATTGAAAATTCAAATTTATTAATGATTTTCAAATTTGAATTGTTTTCCAAGTATTCTCATCGCCCTTGACCGCAATGCAAATTTTCAAGTTAATCAGACTTGAAACTGATGAAAATTAGGTGGAAAGATTTCGTGACATTAATAAATAAATAAATACATACATAAAGAAAGCATAGTGACACCAATATTTAAATCTGGAAGTAAAGACAATATGTTCAATTATAGACCTATTTCAGTTATCAATGTATTTGGGAAGATTTTTGAGAAGTGTTTGAATAACAGACTTTGTTCTTTTCCTGAGAAATATGACATAATATCGAACTGTCAATTTGGGTTCCGCAAAAATTGCAATACAGAGCAATCTCTACAAGAACTTACAGGAGAAGTGCTTGAAAATTTTCAAGATGGAAATAAGACTGTTGCAGTTTTCCTAGATCTTCAAAAGGCTTCAGTATTCAGTATTCAGTATCTCATACAATTTTATTAAAGAAACTAGAAAGTGTTGGAGTGCGTAGTGGAGATCTGAACTTATTTGAGAACTATTTGGCTGATCGGTTACAACAAGTTAAGGTAGGGTCAGATTTAAGCAACATTCAAAAGATCAAAATAGGTGTGCCTCAGGGGACGGTTTTGGAACCAACACTGTTCCTCATATACATAAATGAACTACTTCGATGTAATTTCAACTGTAAGATGATATCATATGCAGACGATACTGTTTTAGTTTGCACTGGTCATTCATGGGATGACGCAATACGGAATGCCGAGTTGTCATTAAATAAAGTCAAATGCTGGTTGGATAACAATTTACTTAAACTTAATATCTCTAAAACTAAGTATGTAACGTTTTCTCCAACCAAAGCAGGCATGCCATTACACCACCGAACATTAATTATAAATGATAGTGCTGACACTGTCGAAAGAGTTGAAGTTATTAGATACTTAGGAATCATTGTTGACAGTAATTTAAAATGGCAGTCATGCCGAGCTTTTGGCATCGAAATTAAGGAGAATTATTCATAAGTTTTTCATTCTTAGGAATATTTTAAGCAGAAAGAGTCTTCTCTCAATATATAACTCGTTTGTGGGGTCTCTACTAACTTACGGGATAAGTATTTGGGGAGCCGCATACACTAGTACTTTAAAAATACTACAAACCACGCAAAATTATATTGTCAGGACTATTTTTCGTATCCCATGTAGGTCAAGTTGCAGATTTGTTTACATTGAAAATGATCTTTTGAATGTTAGAGTTTATATATTTTTGCTGCTCTAAAATTTGTTCACTCCCGAAACAATGTTCCAACCAGCCACGCTTATGAAACAAGAACTAAAATAAATATAAGTTACACCTATGTTATACCAGAGTGAATAAATCTGTTTGCCAAAATGCATAAAGTTTGATGGGATTAAGTTGTATAATAATTACCCCTAGAATATAAAATCCTCTCGAAGTATAGTTTCAAAAAAAGAATTAAGAAGTTCATCTTAAATAACTTTGACATACTTGCATCGAGGGTAGCTTGACTCAACTCAGTAATTTCGTTTCTATCTAATGCTTTTTTTTATTTCTTTTTTTTATATACATTTGCTCATAAATACCTTATGACCATTAGCCATGCATTGAATTTGTATATTGTATGACACACACAAGCTTATAGCTTAGGTGTCTATTATTTTGTAGTAAATTCTTTTGTAGTAAATTGTAGTACTCTTGTTTCTCTGCAAAATTTTTATTGTTTAAACAAAATAGTTTGACCTTACTCGAAATATCCCTCTATTATCATATTTCAGATATTCATATTTTATGTACTCTATATTTATACTTCTGAGTGTTTTTAGTATGCTTCTGTACTATTGTTATGCATTTTAGATTTGTTTATGCAGACACGTAATTTAGGATTTGTGACGACAAGATCCAGACATTTACCCTTTACGAAAGTATACAGAATTTTCACAATTCATATACCGTTACTTGCTGGTTCTAGATCTGATGCTAGTATCTTTGCTCAGATTTCTGTTGCAATCTTGGTTATTCAGGGTAGCAAGAGCATAGAAGCTCATGTATTTTTGAAGCTTTTTTTTAAATTGTACTGAAGGTTGTTTTTAATTTGCAAGTTATATTGGTTTTTGAATTTGAATAAACTTTGAACTTTAGGTTAAACCAATAAAAGCGTGTTAAAAAATAGACGTGATTATGAAAAAATCGAGTCAGAAAATTTCTCCTACGAATATAAGGTTCTTGATTTGTCTGAAAAGTTATGTATGCGTAATACACTGACTTTTCCGAGAATTTTTCTACATTTTGAATGTGACTTTTTTCCAAATTTTAATCCTTCGTGTACTTTGTAGAGAAATAAATACACGAGAATGAGAGGCTCTAATAAAAATCTGAATTTTTGAATTCCATACGGTTGATCAAGTTTCTGAGCATTGTCACTATCGTTTTGACAAAAAAATATCGATACGTTTATTTGGCTCAATTTGTTGTTCACGAACTCAAAATTTCAGTATTTTGTTTTTCGGTGAATAGTAATGGCGCCATATATTGTTATGAGCGTATCTCGGTGCCAAAGTATAATTATAGCTACCATATAAATATAGTCTTTAATGACATACAATATGCTTATGTTGACATTTCGTTGAATTGAGTTCGGATGTTGTCCGAATATTTGTTGACACACATCACTAAATAATCTTTAGGTTGAACACGACTTAACTTTTTAACATATTGAAGGTAGTGGTGATGTCAGTTTAAAAATTTCGTATTCATTCAGCTGAAAGAACAGTAGCATATTTGAAATAATCCTACGCATTGACACAAAACTCTTGTCTAAATACAGGGAGTTCCTTAATGATATGCGAATATTTAAGGGTGTGAATCTACATGAAAAATTAATGTTAGTTTGCTTTATAAACTGTGGTCCAAAAATGTTTCCTTACAAAAACTCGGGGTGTTGAAGTTTAAGGAAAAAAATGGGAATTAATTAATATTTTCAGCACCGCTTCAGATATTTCACTGATCACTCGACAACAAATTTTAGTTTTTTAATTGTATCTTGTGGGAAAAGTGCACTTCTTTGTTAATTTTGAGGCGCTGAATCCAAAAATGACAATAAAATAAAAAAATTAGTTGCGGTTTAGAAAAAAACTTTTTATTTTTAAGGATATATTAAAAAAAGTAACAAGATTCATATACTTATAAGAAACACTATATGCGCTGTCTTTTTGCTGTTCTTTGATGGATCGTTTCTGGAGCATCTCTACCAAGAGTCAAACAGTAGTCTGCCAGCATGGAAGGATTCCACTTTCCCTGGTACCTTTTTTCCATTGTTGAAATATCCTGATGAAAACGTTCGCCGTGCTCATCACTTACGGCTCCGCAATTGTCAGGAAAAAAGTCCAGGTGTGAGTGTAGGAAATGTATCTTAAGAGACATATTACAGCCCATCTTTTGATACGATGACAGCATATTTTTGACAAGGGTTTTATAGTTGTCAGCTTTTCTATTTCCCAAGAAATTAGTGACCACCAGACGGAAATCATTCCAAGCAGTTTTTTCAATACCTGTTAAAGTGTTTTCAAACTGTGTATCTTTCAAAATATTTCGAATCTGTGGCCCGACAAAAATACCTTCTTTAACCTTTGCCTCACTTAGTCTTGGAAATTTCTGACGCAGGTATTGAAAAGCTGACCCATCTCTATCTAATGCCTTGACAAAGTTTTTCATTAGGCCCAACTTGATATGCAGTGGTGGTAATAAATTTTTTTTCGAATCTACTACTGGCATATGCTGTACATTTTTTTGACCTGGCTCTAGGAATTGACGAACAGGCCAGTTTTGTCTGGTGTAATGAAGTGTCTTTGCCCGACTGTCCCATTCACACAAAAAACAGCAAAACTTTGTGTAGCCTAGCTGCAGCCCAAGTAAAAGTGCAGCAACTTTCAAATCGCCACAAATATGCCATTGGTGCTCATCGTATTTTATGCATGTCAATAGGTACTTCATATTGTCATATGATTCTTTCATGTGAACTGCATACCCTACAGGAATAGATGGTAAAATATTTCCAATATGCAATAACACTGCCTTTAAACTCAATGTTGAACTGTCAATAAACAATCTCCATTCTTCTGGGTTATAGTTTATATTTAAAGCCGCCAGTAAGCCGTTAATGTTACTGCAGAATACCAAGTTATTCTCCATATTGAAAAATGGTTCTAAGTCTTTGTGGCGTTTACGAAAAACACATACCGAAACATCGTCTTCTAACAAGTTCCACTGCTGCAGTCTTGATCCAAGTAACTCTGCCTTACATTTTGGAAGTTCTAAATCTCTTAAAAGATCATTTAATTCTGACTGTGTTATTTTGTGCGGTTGGTGGCATGACGTGGTTGCCCATACGTTAACCGAAAATTGGTGTTGGAAATGGGTTTTGGTTACGGCATAGGGATTTTCTTCTGCCCACAAATGATTATTGTGGACATTCTGAATGGCATTTCGAGAAAAATTAGCGTCGTCCGTGAAGAGAATCATTGATTCAATTTGCGGATTTTGTGTAATTTTTTGAAGATACCACTGACAAAAGGTCACACGCCTTGTAAAATCAATGGGAAGTAATGCCTGCACTCTTGAAATATGGTAAGGATATAACGAAAAATCCACTAAAATTCTCCAAACAATTTGATGGCAAATATTTAAGTGTCTAGCGATCTTCCTCGTACTCGTTTCATGATGTTCTTCGACTTCGTGCAGCACTGCTTCCTCAATTTCAGGTGTTCTCACACTTAGAGGTCTACCTTCAGATGTTCCTTTTCGGACAGAACCAGTTTCAACAAGACGACGATGAATATTAAAGAAGGTTCGACTATCTGGCAAAGCACGATCGGGATATCTCTGGTGATAAATCTGTCTGGCTTCCTCACCATTACCGTCGGCAATACGTAATGCATTTGCGCCATTTCTGCATTTGAATAATTCACCATTATTAACAAGATTGTAAAAACTAAATAATGAAAAAGATGTCACACCGAACAGATTTAAATAACAGAGTCTTGTCAGATGTCAAAAGCCAGTGACATATTCCAGAGCAACTAGATATTTATTGCTAAATTGCATTCTTCAATTATTATTACATTAATTTTCTCGGACAATAGAACGGTTTTTATTTTTTACTCAAAAATGGCGCATCGAAGGAAAACAATTCAAGAGAGATCATTTATTTTAAATTGAACGGGGAAGTCAAAAATAATTTTTATTTGGCAAAAAACCATTTTCGTACCATTTTTTTCCTAAAAAATATCGAAGTCAATACCCGTACGCACGCCACTGTTAAAACTAAAAATTATTTTTACATTGAAAAATATGCAACTTTATTATTTTTTACTACGTACTAAATATCAGTAAAATATCTGAAGCGGTTCTGAAAATATTAATTAATTTCCATTTTTTTCCTAAAACTTCAACACCCCGAGTTTTTGTAAGGAAACATTTTTGGACTATAGTTTATAAAGCAAACAACATTAATTTTTCATGTAGATTCACACCCTTAAATATTCGCATATCATTAAGGAACACCCAGTATAATATCTACATTGAAAAGTTATTCAACTCTCCATCAACTAATTTACTACGAAGTGGTCTTTTCAATATGTTTTAATAATTCGGAGTCCAAACGACACAAGCTTGGGGCTGTTTTTTATGCATCCATTTTGAATGCGATTTACTTGATTAATGACCACAGAGAGAAACCGAGATGGATCAAAAAGTCTACAGGATGACATTTCAGGAGATAGGTCGATGTGACAAGAATCCAGCTTTGAGCTTTGACATTGTATGCCCTGCGATGTGACTTGTATGCACAGATTAACAGCTACACTACTTGTAGGTTTGTCTGCCTGTGCCTGTAAGATTTTGAGGAATAAGTTATTACATAAGAAAAGCAAAAAATTATTGCCTGGGATTCAAACATTTCGAGGCTG